TTTGCCATTTTATATAAGGGACACCATTTTACTCTGCCATTGCATCTAATGGGACTTGAGCATCCACAGATTTTAGTATCCATATGGGTCCTGGAACCAAACTCCAGTGGATATCAAGGGCCCACTGTATATCTCTAACATAATTATACTATTGATTATTTCCAGCACTAGACTGATTTGTCAAAACATAGAGTGGGCCTATGTTTAGGGGCTGCAATCTGCTACTGAGTCAATTGCTGTGATATCACAGAAAGGCTGAATGGGTGGGAAGGGCTTGGGGAGACTATCAGTGTAACAACCAGGCATGTTTACATAAAAGTAAGCTGTAGTTTATAGTAGAGAGGGCCAGCGTGGCCTAGTGGTTTGAGCGTTGGACTGCAACTCTGGAGACTAGGGTTCGATTCCTGCTCAGCCATGAAACCCACTGGGTGACCCTGAGCAAGTCACACTTTCTCAATCTCAGAGGAAGACAAAAGCAACTCCCCTCTGAACAAGAAAACCCCATGATACATTTGCCTTAGGGTGCCTATAAGTCAGAAACTACTTGAAAGCACGCAACACACACAACGCAAACTGTACTTAATAGGCCTGACAGATGGATCATATGCATAGAATTGCAACCATAGCATTCCAGTTCTAAAGTCCATGTGTAACCTTAGGTCAATTAAACCCTGTGCAGTTTTAAGTAGTAGTTTGTGGGAGAATTTCTGATGGCAAGAAAAGCTGACCAGTTTGTGAAATTGGCTTAGAGCGATTAAGGAAATCTAGAGAGAACCGAGTCCAGAAGATCTAGCAGTGAACAAAAAGAGCTATACAGATATTCTAATTCCTCTTCAAGAACATCTTAGTAATGGAAAGTGGACATACAAGGTAGCTTTTGAGTGACGTAAAGAAGTGTCGTTTTGCCTGGGAACAAAAACTTTGCATAGGATCATGAGAGAGCAGAATTATTATGCTGCCACATTGGGGAGGGGTTGGAAGCAGACTGGTCACAAACATAACCTGGAAAAATTTACCACTACAAACCCCAGAAATGTGCTCTAGTACAAACCACAGTGTGGTATAGTGGCTTGACTATTGGATTATGCCTCTGGAAGCCAGGGTTCGAAGCTCCACTCAGCCATGGAAACCCATTAGGTGGCCTTGGACAAGCCATAGTCTTAACCCAAGAAGGAAGCAAGGGAAAACAGGCTCTAAATGAATCTTGCCAAGAAAGATAGGTTTGCTTTAAGACAAAATTCCCAAACTTTGATCCTCTAGGTCAGACTTCAACTCCCAGAAGTCTTAGCCAGCATAGCCAGCAGTCAGGAATTCTGGGACCTGAGGTCCAAAACATCTGGAGTGCCAAAGTTTGGAAACATTGCCTTATGGTCACCATAAGTCAGGAACAACTTGAAGGCACACAACAATGATGGAACTTTTCCATGGTTTGGGCATGATATGTGACCAACAGCTAAGAGCAGAGTGGAAAAAGGGTGCAAGGACCAAAGGAACCCCAAGTCAAGATGGTCTGAAAGACTGGAGACAGATTCAACTGCCAAAAAAAAAAAAAAAAAAAAAAGCAGAGAAATGAGAGAAGGAAAGGCTGGAGCAGAACTGTGTGAGAAAAGGCATGGTGCAAAGGGAAATCATCAGCATGGAGCAAAGGGAAATTAGTATGGGAACAAGAGGAAATTCTGTAGGACCAGAGCCAAAAGCAGTGGAGGGAAAAGACAGGCAACAGGAGACTAGGAGTCAGTGTGAGACCAAAATACTGATTTGACCTATGCTGCCAAGTATTTGGCAGATCTCGAGCATTGTGTTTATAGTATTTTAGGCTATGGCTAGCTTGCGTGAGGATTCCAAGTGTTCAGAGAAAAGTATCTCTATGGATCGTTGACAGACAGTGCAGTTTCTGCGTGGGGAAAGCAAAGGTCAGTTGGTTTGGAATGGAAAACTCTTGCACCAGACCTGCGGACAGGAAGGCAGTGATGCTTTTGTAAGCTTTCAGCCAAAATTAAACTCCATCCATCCATCTGGAAATAATGAGGAACTCCCTGCTTGGAATTCCTGCCATTTCAGTATAAGGTTTAATTTCATAATTTCATGTTAAGCTCTTATTTTCTGGAGAAGCTGACTTCCTTTGAGGATAACATTTGCAAGAGAGATGAAAGGTGCTCCCAGTTTAAATACAAACCATCCCTTAGTAAAATTGGCAGGGGGAGGGGGGGGGGGAAAGAGGAATATGCACTGTTATTTTGGTTGTTCCTATTCCATGAATAATATCTGGTTTGCCCAGAAGCGTTCAAAGCAAAAATAACCTGGAGGCCCCCTTGGCAAAAACACAACCAAAGTGGTTTAGACAAATTAAGACATTTTCCTTCACATTCTTGACACTAATTAGCAATGGGCCTTCAGAAATCCAAATCAAATAATAATAAGAAAATTCCCTTTGCCCCTTTGAATATTTCTGAGCTTCATATTTAGCAGCCAATGTTTTGCAGTGGTTCTGGGTTGGGCCCATGAATTAGATATCCAACAATTCAAATCTCACCCACTCCATAAGTGATAAACTCTTTAAGCAAAGTGCTTTCACTCAACTTCGTACCATCATGGTGATGGTACAGTCTACCAGTCAGAGCTCAAAATGTTACTTTTTAAATGAAGTTTGCTCTTGACACAGTGTTTGAAAAGTAACATGTTATCATTAATCATCAGTATTGGAAAATGAACTTTTGATTGTATAACTTACTGTTTCAGTTCATTACTTTTCTGTCAACTGTCCATTGCTTTTTCCAACTGGGTGGAGGAATGTAGGATTGATAAACTAATAGCACAAAACTTGAATTATTCCTGCCAAAATTCTTTAAAATTCTCATGAACTGTAACTTCTGAAAGTAACAAGAAAGCATCACTTATCAAAGCAATCAACTAAAACGCTGACTCTTTACACTACCTTTGAAATGTAACTTCACTGCACACTAATTACGTGGTTACAGGTAACAAGATTACTTGCAACTCGCTACTTCCAATCTTGGTATACAGATTTATTCTAAGGATTACAGAGATAATAAAGAGCTTTAAATTTAAACAAATTGAAAAGCAATACCACAAACTGATTTTCTACATAACATCAGCTGCCAGGATAGTCTTAGCAGCGAAATGGAAGAAAAGTATCGTACCTACCGTGGATGAGTGGTTATTTAAATTGGCAGATTGTATTTGTGCAGATAAATTAACACATTTGCTATGGGGAGAATGTTGGGAAAAACAAAGGAAGGCCTGGGAGCCACTAATCACATTTTTGATTGCGAATGGCCATAAAGATCTAGTAAAAGATA